TGGGAAATCCTTGGGGTGGACACATATATACTTCTTCAGTGAGGTCTCCTTGGAGAAATGCATTATAAACGTCCATTTGATGCAAATTCCAGTTGTTGGCTGCAGCTAAAGCTATAACTACCCTGACTGTCACCATTTTGACTACAGGGGAGAAAGTTTCCTGATAGTCTAGGCTTTCTATTTGATTGTAACCCTTAGCTACTAGCCGTGCCTTGTACCTTTCAACCTCTCCATTGGCCTTATACTTTACCTTGAACACCCACTTGCATCCAATAGGAGTCTTCCCTGCTGGCAAATCTACCATAGTCCAGGTCCTGTTGTCCTTGAGTGCATTTAACTCCTGATGCATAGCATCAAGCCATTTGAGGTCTGATGCAGCCTCCTCATAAGTCAAAGGCTCTCTAATGCTGGTAATTTTGGACAAATGGGACTGATACTTGACTGAGAAACCTGCATGAGTCAAATAGTTATGCATTGGGTATTTGCAAAGCTGCTGCCCTTCTGACCTTGTCAAGGAACCATTGCAGACATAATCTTGTAGCCACACAGGCTCCTTAGTAGTCCTGGCTGACTTCCTTAATGAGGAACCCACAGGAATAGGTGTATCCTATTCTGAAGGAGGTGATTGCTGAGCTGGAGTGTCTTCAGAGAATAAAGGAAGTGGTAATGAAGGTTGTGTATCAGCAGTGTGGTTGTCTGCAACAGGTGGCATTGCTGAAAGGGATGCATCATCATCATGTGTGTTGATCTGCACAGGAATAGCATCAGTAGTGACTGGATAGTGCAGCACACCATTAGGGAAAAGCTGCAACTTTCCTTCCTTAAGTAGTTGAAACGGAAAGATATGCTCCATAAACTTGACATCCCTACTTACAAAGAAAGAGTTAGTTAAAATATTATACAGTGTGTATCCCTTCTAGGATAATGAATATCCCATCAACACAGCTCCAACTGATCTAGCTGCAAACTTATCCTTTTCTCCCACAACCTTAGCAAAGCATAGACACCCTATGGTTCTCAGGTGCTGTAAAGATGGCACTCTTCCATACAACATCTCAAAAGATGATTTTCCTGACAACACTGATAGAGGCAACCTGTTTATGACATAGATGGTTGCCTGCACACATTCCCCCCAAAATTTGAAAGGCAAATAACCTTGCAATCTAATGGCCCTGGCCACTTCCAGTATGTGTCTTTGTTTCCTCTCCACTACCCCATTTTGTTGTGGGGTGTGAACACATGAACTCTGATGAATCATTCCATAAGATTGAAACAAAATGTGGCATTCAGAATTGAAAAACTCAGATCCATTGTCACTTCTTATAACTTTCACAGTCACAGCAAATTAAGTCTTTATTAAGGCTAAAAATTGTTTCAAACATACAACCACATCACTCTTGAGCCTTAGTAAGTAAATCCATGTCATTCTGCTGCAATAATCTACTATAGTAAGGAAAAATCTATGTCCACTATGAGTTTGTACTCTATATGGACCCCAAACATCTACATGAATCAGTTGAAATGGTTTATCTGATCTACTTGTACTCTTAGGGAATGACAATCTGCCTTGTCTAGCCAAAGGACAGATTGTGCATTCCTTTGTTCCATCACTACTAGCTTTGAACTTCATGTTTGGAATTTGTTTCACTACTCTATCTAGAGAATGTCCAAGTCTTCCATGCCACACCTTTAAGTCCACCTCGTGCACAGTAGATTTCTGAAGATGTACATTTGCAGCCTTGGCTTCAAGTTTTTGATGCTGCAAGTTGTTCAAACCTTCTAGTTCCTTACCAATCCCCTTCACCTTCCCACTGTGAAGGTCTTGCATTATCCAGAAGTCAGGATAAAAGGATATAAAACATCTTAAATCCCTTGTGTGCTTGGACACAGACAAGAGATTATATTTAAAATTTAGAACATACAAAACATTCTTAACAATACTATTTTCACCAATTCTACTCTCTCGAGTACATTCAACATCAAGTGAAGATCCATCAGGTAAATATACCTTTGGCACATTGCCTAGGATATCTGTGTTTATCTTGTCAAGTAGCTCTCTAGTGTGAACCATGTGGTTGGTTGCACCAGAGTCTACTATCCGATTCTCATCTTTAACCTTTTCATTTGCAACAAAGGTCTTAGATGTACCAGCAAAGCTTTCATTTTCACCTGTCCCTGTACTGATCAGCTTCAATATTTGGTCATATTGCTCTTGAGTAAACATGATTGGACTTCCTCTTTGTGCTACATTTGCAGCAGATGTGTTGATCACTTGTTGTGCCTCCTGTGTAGTTGTATTGGTCACCTGCTTTGTCATTGATTGTTGTTCCTCATGTATGGTTGCATTGGCCATAGGTCTTTGAGGAAAACCTGTTGTCTTCTTCCTCATTTTGAAATCAGCTGGATAACCATGCAGCTTGAAGCAAGTGTCTCTTGTGTGTTCTTTATAGTTGCAGTAACCACAGAATAGATTTCCTCTTCTGGGCTTATAATTGTTCGCTGAATTCATGCCTTTGTTGGTGAATAGTGTTGTTCCATTTCCAATGTCTATAGATTGAGAGAACTTTCCCAAAGCTCTTTGGCTTTCTTCAGAAACTATCATGGAATATGCTTTGTTAACTGTAGGAACAGGGCTCATCATCAATATCTGACTCCTAGGTTGGCTGTATGTTTCATTTAGCCCCATAAGAAACTGCAGCAGCCTTTGATACTCAAAATGTTCAAAATAGCTTTTAGATTCTGGGCAGTCACACCCAGGGCAGGGCATCAAGGCATCATATTCCTCCCAGAGGTCTGTTAATTTGGAGAAATATGCAGAAACTAAGGAAATTCCCTGCGATAAAGTTGCAATTTCCTTGTGCAGGAAGAAGATGCGAGATCCATCTACCTTATCATACTTATCCTTCATATCAGTCCAGACTTTGTGTGCATTAGATTTGTAGACAATTCCACTAAGTAATTCTGTGCTCACAGCATTCATAATCCATGACAGAACTATTGCATTACACTTCTCCCAAAGCTCATGCAAGGATCGATCAAACTTATCCTTAGTACATCGTCCATCAACAAATCCTAGCTTACTCTTACCAATTTGAGCTATTTTCATAGATCTACTCCACAATGCATAGTTTTCAGATCCAGTTAGTTGAATAGAGATCAAGGAACTACCTGGAGTATCACATGGCTGTAAATACAATGGATGATGATGATCTATGTTCGTTGCTGTGCTTGTTCCAGTTGAAGTTTCTTCTCCATTCGCCATTGCCAACAGATTCAGCTGATCTTACTCTCAGATTCAAGGAATTATAGATTCGCAATCGCAAATCAAAAACAGAAACTAGGTTAACTGATTGAGGAAAAATTCGAACAATCAGCAACAAAATGATTTTGCAGAAAGCTGAAGATATCCACCACAATGATCGTGTATTTAGCCCCTGGGCTCTGATACCATGATGAAGCTCAAAGATCAGATCACTGGAGCTAAGAAGAAGATGAACAAGAAGGTTCTAGAATGAAGAACTCATTGGAGAGCATGTGAGATGAAAATGATTGTATATTCCACTATGTAAAAACTGAATACAAAACATACAAGTCCTACTTATATACATTGTATATGACAACTGTACTAATCATTCACCACTTACTACTCTAACCACCAATCACATAATTAGTTATAACTAATCCCCAGCTAACTACACTAACTCACGTGACTGTCATGTGTCACTCTTCTCCTCAATAGTTTGAAGTTACGTTGTACTCCAACTTCCACATATTCTGTTTTTGGTACTATATATAAGGTTGGTCAATCTGTTGACCTCTTAATAGATGAGAAAGGAAAGCACAAAGAGAAAAAAAACTAGAATATTTAGATACATGTGATTAATATCAATGGGTACATGAAGTGGGAGTTGAAGTGAACTTTCAGCAACTTGAAAACTACAAAGTCAGAGATTTCAGACTTTGCAGTTCGGTTGGGCAAGCTAGCAGTGTAAATGTCATATGGGGCACCTTTCCTTTAAAATCTAGTATTTAATTTCTTTTCCTTTGAAAGAAAAATATTTGGTTAACTTATTCTATTATCATGTGTGTGTATATATACACACACATATAAAGCCTCATTGGAGATGTATATAAATGTGAGAATGTCAAAAATAAAGATTAAGACAGATTTTAACATAAAATACAAGGCACAATTTTGATTAAGTCTCAGGAAGCGACTATTTATTGCTATTTGGTAATTTAGGATCATTCTTAAGAGGAAATGGTTTAAGATGTCTCTTACAATTTAAATAGAAGAATACGACCCACGAAACATCTCTTGTGTTTTATGTTCTATGACATAAAACGTAAAAAAAGTTTTGTAAAGAACCATACCAATTGACCCAAAGAATGGAAATTGTCACGACCCACAATTTACAGTCATGATGGCACCTAACCCTAATGCTAGGTAAGCCAAATGCAGAACAGGGTAACTCAAATAATAGATTATTAATAACAAGAAATAAAATGATTGAATTCATACAACCTCACAAGGACTGGTAGTACAAGTCACGAGCCACTATAATTTAGATTTACATAACGAAATGAAGAATAGGTACAATATCTATTTGAAATTTACATAAACAGAGTTTAAGTCCTAAACTACAATGAACAAGAGGTAGCTTGAATCTGGAACGCTGGAACGTCTTCAGTGCAAGCCTTCATCTTCCACAGTACGCGGCTCTAAGATCTGCACACAAGGTGCAGAAGTGTAGCATGAGTACAACCAACTCCATGTACTCAATAAGTATTTTAACTAACACTGGTGAAATAGTGATGAGGTTTTAAGTTAAAAGATACCTACTTATTATTTTTACTTGTGTAAATGATAAGCAGAAAGAGCAATACGAGAAAGATACACAAATAATCACATAATAATTGAAACAAGGATACAACTAACAGGGGCCCCAGAATATCATTACTCCTCAATCTCACGACACAATACGATAACAGGAATTAAAGACAAGAATAACCATAATACATCTGCTCCATTGCGGTGCGCAACCCGATCCCACATATATAATGAACACTGTTGCAGTGTGCAACCCGATCCGAACATCAATAAATATTGTTCGTCGTGCAACCAGATCCCAATATTAATAATTTCATATGAAACCGCAACAACTCAAACGCGGGAAAAGTTCACAACATGACACTACGAAACGAACACGCAGTATTAAACTAGGTAATACAACTCAAACAGAGTAGAATGGGCAGTCCAATATCAAAAGCTAGTCTACCGTATGTAATGACAAGGCTTTCACAAAACATAACAAATAACCAATCTAAAAGTCATTCAATCCAGTTAAGCAAGGAAGAGTACGATATGAAACGAGTAATGATGTTTATCAAGAAAGAACATGGATCAAATGAAGGCATTCAATATATGAAATCATGTAGCAAGTAAAGGTATTTAATCAGTGAAGGCATATGGTAAGTAAAAGCATATAGTAAGTGAAGGCATATAGTAAGTGAAGACATATAGTAAGTGAAAACATATAATGAGTGAAGACATGTAGCAGGTTAAGGCATTTAACGATTAAGTCACGTGGCAATCAAAGGCAAGTAACATGTATGGGCTAATAACAAGTAAAGACATGAATTCGAAGAGGACATGTAATAGAAGTAAATCAAGTAAAAGTGCAGGTGTAATAGTAACAGACAAGGTAAAGACACAGCTATAACAGTAACAGGCCAAAGGGAAAACGCAAAGGTAACTACAAAAGGAACTCAAGCGGAGGGTATTATACAAAACAAAAAAATCACTAATAGAAACCAAAGTAAAAGGCATGTAAGTACTTAACGAATGAGTAATCATAATGAAAATCCAACTTCCTTCCTTTCACACGGTAATAACCAACAAATCAATCTCATTTCAAACCGCACAAAAATCTCATCGTACCAACATCATATCAACCGCACGGAAATACCCATCGTGCCAATCATGTCCCGAATGTCCTAATCACCATATCTTATTACGAATAAAGAAACTCAAGTAAAATGACAATAACAGGTATAGATAAAGGTTCGTGATACCACGATCAAGTTAGGTATGCAATGGATCTCAGAACATCACATTAAATCCCTAGCATGATTTCTAACACAGTTAATTTAGTTTATTAATCATCAAATTAAATGAACTATAGGTTAAGGGATCATTAAGTTCAACAAGGCACAAAGAAGCATATAATTTCCCCCTCCCGAGCTTGAAAATTCCGGCACATGCATATACGCTCGTCAACTTGTATATGCATCATCCCCGCATGTAGCAAATAATATCAATTAGTAGGAAAAATTCCATCAACAAAGCTAGGCAAGATACTTACCTCATTCTGAAACAAAATCAACAATCAACCACGGTATTTTACTTTAAGACAAGCCTCCAACCAATCGAATCTAGCCAAATATCGTTCAAATAATTCAAAACAAGCTTTAGAAACTACCCAAGAATGAAAAATGTTCAATCTTTAGTTAAAATTTAAAAAAGGTCAACAAAAGTCAAGCCTTGGCCCGCTTGGTCAAAACCCGACATTTGGACCAAAACTCGATTACCTATTCAACCCCTGAGCTCGATTACGTGATTTGATTCAAAATCTGACTTCGATTTGAGGCCTAAATCTCAGTTTTACAAAATTCGTAAATTCTACCCCCAAACCCCTAATTTCTACCATGATACTCTTAGATTTGATGTTACAGACTTGTGAAAAGTTATTGAAATTGATTGAAAACTAGTTAAAGATGTTCACCATGAATTTGGGAAGAAAAAGTTCTTCAAAAATCACATCTAGAGTGTTTAGGGTGGGAAAATGGTGTAAAATGAGCGAAGTCCCAATTTTTTCCTCTTTTATCCAATTGCAGGTATCGCAATTACGAACTCTTGTTTGCAAATACAATGCTCGCAAATGCGATACACTGATCGCAAATGCGATCAGTGTATCATGCCCAGTGAAGTCGCAAATGCAACGAAATTCTCGCAAATGCGAGCTAACTTTCGCATTTGCGAAGCTGCCAGCCCCCAGCTCCCAGTCGCAAAAACGACTCAAAGGTCGCAAAATCGAACAAACAGAGTCCGCAAATACGAACTATTCTTCGCAAAATCGAAATTCCAGCCCACCAGCCCAGTATCACAAATGCGATCAGTTGACCGCAAATGCGAGATCTCAAAAAATTACGTAAAAACTTTTCGAAAAACGACAGGGATCACGCACGCAAATCAAGAAATATCAAATAGAGCTAGAAAAAGTCTTGGAACACAGAAAGGTAAGCTAGTACTCAAAACGACCAATCGAGTCGTTACAGGATATTATTTCCTAATTATTTGTGACGAACGGTTGAGCATAGTTTTGGTTATCAAAAAATGGTTTTTTAAATGTTAAATTATTTGATCGATTGAAGTACTAGTAAAATGTATGCACTGAAACTAAAATTTAATTTTTTGTACGATGTGGAACATTGATATTGATTATTAAATTGATTTAATTGTTATAACAATCAGTTACTTTAATTCAAACCAACATAGGGTTAAGTCTAATATGCTAGCACAAAAAGTATTATAATAGAAATGCTTGAATATTTCTTCTTTACTAGGGCACAACGACATTTTTTGTTGGGTTGTTAAGACTATCCCTATAATTAGCTCTCCAAAAAAAAAAAAAAAAGAACAAAACAATTGGCAACAATGATTTGATTCAAAATTTCAGTTTTATTTGCATTTATCGTTATTTTAGTCTAAACAATAGAATGTAGGAGTTTGGGATTTCCACTTCTCTCATCTAATTATTCTCTGTCATCCAGCTTTTATATCCAACCATATAAATTTATTTGACCGAAAATATAGATCCTCCAAAGGCGGATACATTAAATTAAATAGTACTTGTTTTTAATCCATAATTAAAAATACAACCTTATGTATTGCACTCATATCACTTAAATCCTAAATCCATCCCTTGGTTAGTTTTTCTCCCCGTTTTCTAGCTCTTTCTGTTTACCAGATAAAGTCTTTTAAGTTTCTCTCACATTCTCAATACTGAATTGGCAATAAGTTGGGTGCGATTTCATAAATAAGGTCAGCTTCAATTCTGTTTGATGATCGATCGTTTTCAGTGCAGCTGGTCTCTGTTTCACTTGCATTTATTATTAATTTGGTTGCTAAATGATTTGTTCGTCTAACTGGTTAACCACAATTTTTAGGTTAAGTTTGACATTAGCTCATGTGGTTTTCTG